ACCTGCTGCCCCCAATTGCATGATCGTAAGAGGCGACTAAATTTGGGACCTTATCTCTTCTCTCCTTTCTAAATAACTTTCTTCTTCCTAATGTCTCCCTTGACAATGCCTCACTTTTGGCCATTTGTTGAGCGTTCGCCCCTGTGAGGAAGGCTTTGGGTTCTGTCCCCTGGCCGAGACATACCAAAGTCTTTAAAAATGGTAGTTTCTACTCCTGCTTAACGCTCAGCAAATTAGGAGTGGGACGACTGGTTCGCCCGTTGTCAGTATAATGTGACCGGGTGGGGCGTCCTGCTGGGTGTCTTCGGCAGTATGTCTCAGTGAGGTAGCACTATAAAGTCGGCATCAGTTCCGCGCTATCACAAGGAGACAAACACGAACATATCGCAGCCTCCCAAAATACACACACATACACTACACGCATGCATCTTGCACACAGAGGAGGCCGTCCTTAAATGACCTTAGCTGTTAATAGGACGTTAAACAAAATCAATCAATCAATCAATCTTTTGGAAAAATTGTCAAATCCAAATTCTTTTAGGGAGACACAACTTCATATCATGATTATCATGTATACAAAGTTTCAAAGAGATCAGTCGACAAATGTAGGAGGAGATCTCCCGACAAAATTCAAATACTGAAATGAACAAAGGGCAATAACTTTTGGAAAAATTGTCAAATCCAAATTCTTTTAGGGAGACAGAACTTCATATCATGATTATAATGTATACCAAGTTTCAAAGAGATCGGTCGAAAAAATGTAGGAGGAGATCTCCCGACAAAATACAAATACTGAAATGAACAAAGGGCAATTACTTTTGGAAAAATTGTCAAATCCAAATTCTTTTAGGGAGACACACCTTCATATCATGATTATAATGTATACCAAGTTCCAAAGAGATCGGTCGAAAAAATATAGGAGGAGATTGCCAGACAAACAACGCCATACCATAATACTACCGTCAAATTTGACGGTCGTATAACAATGTGTGAATGTGCATAAATGAACTATTATATATTTCAATGGAAAGTAAAACGATTTACAAAAACAATTCACCAATTAGGATCTATATTTAGATATACCATAAGCAGGAGATTACTTGGTTATTCAAAATATCAATGAGAGGCCAAAGGGATACTGCAAAGTAGTTCTGGAAGATGTAAATAAATCAAAATTAAAATGTCAATCCAAAACATAAAAACACTTCTTTTTGACCAGGAAATACAGGAAATTTTGTCCCTTGCAAGTGTAAACAATGACTTTAATTTAAGTTTAATATAGATTTTTCAAAATTTCTACCATGGCAGCTATATCAAATGTTTGACCAACTTGAAAAATAACCCTTGGCTTTAAAATCACAGCCATAGCTGCCTCTTTGATTTCACATTTAAACAGAAAAATAATTTACGCTATTAAAGTGAAAGATATTACCTTTGACCAAAGTCTGTTTGCTCTTGACTTAAGGATGATGAGGGACATCTGATCCACATCATCACTTTCCTCCATGCGTTTAAGTACAGCATCAACTTCCACCAACAGGTCCTTAGCCTATTAGAAATACATTCAAAAAATAAATTCAAAGGCTGAGGCAGACCACTTGGGCATCTAGATATGCAAAGCAATTGCACAAAAGTTTATGTTGGGGGTCTCAACTCATCTCAAAGTGATGACCAAGGGTTTAAATTCTTTAGCCACCATGGTATAATATGTGAAGCCGTCAGTGATTGTATACAATTGATATGGTTAAAGGTAAGGACCACAGCCATTCAATTTGAACAATTTAAAATCCACACTACCAAAGGGTACCCAACATGGCCACATTATCCCTTCAGCACCGCCACTGAGCCCCTTGTGAGGTGGGGGCGGGAAGTTTAGTCCTTCTGTGTGTACAAACAACATGGCCACATTATCCCTTCAGCAAGGCCACTGAGCCCCTTGTGAGGTGGGGGTTGGAAGTTTAGTCCTTCTGTGTGTACAAACAACATGGCCACATCATCCCTTCAGCGCGGCCACTGAGCCCCTTGTGAGGTGGGGGAGGGGAGTTTAGTCCTTCTGTGTGTACAAACAACATGGCCACATCATCCCTTCAGCACGGCCACTGAGCCCCTTGTGAGGGGGGGGCGGGAAGTTTAGTCCTTCTGTGTGTGCAAACAACATGGCCACATTATCCCTTCAGCAAGGCCACTGAGCCCCTTGTGAGGTGGGGGTGGGAAGTTTAGTCCTTCTGTGACTACAAACAACATGGCCACATCATCCCTTCAGCACGGCCACTGAGCCCCTTGTGAGGTGGGGGCGGGAAGTTTAGTCCTTCTGTGTGTACAAACAACATGGCCAAATGATCCCTTCAGCACGGCCACTGAGCCCCTTGTGAGGTGGGGGCGGGAAGTTTAGTCCGTCTGTGTGTACAAACAACATGGCCAAATGAGCCCTTGAGCACGGCCACTGAGCCCCATGTGAGGTGGGTGTGGGAAGTTTAGTCCTTCTGTGTGTACAAACAACATGGCCACATTATCCCTTCAGCATGGCCACTGAGCCCCTTGTGAGATGGGGGCGGGAAGTTTAGTCCGTCTGTGTGTCCAAACAACATGGCCAAATGACCCCTTCAGCACGGCCTCTGAGCCCCTTGTGAGGTGGGGGTGGGAAGTTTAGTCCTTCTGTGTATACAAACAACATGGCCACATCATCCCTTCAGCACGGCCACTGAGCCCCTTGAGAGGTGGGGGTGGGAAGTTTAGTCCTTCTGTGTGTGCAATTCTCGATCCATGTCACTTGAGGATGGTTCCAACCAAATATGATTGATGTCAATTTTTTACCATTATAGAAAAAAGTCCTTTATAGGAATATGGCCCAATTGCATTTCTTGGTCCCGTCTGTTAGCCACAGGGGGTCAGTCCATCAATTTTCACAATTTTGGTTTCCCATTACCTGAAAATGCTTCCAACCAGTATGATTGATATTCATTCTGTTAGTTTCATACAAGTCACTTAAAAACAATATAGCTAAATTACCATACCCCTATCCTTTAGACATTTCCATCATATAGCAAATGTGCCAAAAAATTACCCTGAAAAAAGTTCTTTGTGGCAGTTAAACTTCCAATTTATGTGAAACCTGGTTTCCTTCAAAATAAAAGCCTCACATAAATGATCAAGTTAACCATTGGCTTAGCACATTAAAGAAATGTTTTAGGACAGAGTGTACCGAACCATATACATATTGTTTTTAAATTGCCTTACATTTTTCGATTATATAATAGAAAAGCTGAATCGACATCAATTTTGTGGACAACTGGTACACATTTTACACCTTTGTGTACATACGCTTCACTGGTCATTTGTCTGATGGAGGTGACAGTGTACATACCGTACTAGTCATCAAAACATCACATAGAAAATCTTATTGGTTGTGTAAAAATACTTACCAACCTGAAGAAAATGTTTTGAAATTTGTTCAATTATGATTTTATGGAACAATTAAACAAACCTGGTCTGCTTTGCAGATAGCAACGGCTACTGAGCTGGCTTCCAGGAGCTGGTTAACAAGGTTCTGGTAATGTTTGGCTGCCTTCCAATGGTAGAAAATCATTGTATAGGTGGGCAGTAGGCATTCCAGCATCTCGTCTGTTGTCTGGTTCAGTGAGAACTGTTCCCTCAGTACCTGCACCAGGGGATCCCCCTTCCTAGTCAACAGTTCAGGTTTATCTATACTACCAGTAATGAGTTTGGTATCATGTTCACTGTTTAACATGTAGTTCAGTCATATAAGCATTAAGATAATGTCCGGGAAATATGACTCTGAAGTAGCCGACAACTTCAAAATCAGGGAAAGTTCATCTGTATGGCATAGCCCCGCAATGAAAAAGGGACAAAATTCTGCCATATAACATTTAAATATCACGATTTAAGAACTCATTCAATGCATTCATGTAATGAAACGTCCCAGCAAATTTGACAAAAATTAAAAAATAATTATTTGAGTTATCTCGTAAACAAGCAAAAGTTAACGGCAAAAACAATGAACAGCATTGCTATGTAAAGTGTAATGCCAAATCGTGGAAAGTTGAAACAGAAAACCCCATAATATATGTGTAACATTATTGTTTCTAGCATTACTGTACAAAATCTGAAAGGAATTGATTAAAAAAAATTAAAAACATTCTTGCATTCACAACAAAATGCCCTTATTTGGCAATAAAAGGGGCATATCTACACCAAAAAGCACCTAAACTTCCAAAAATCAAACTTGTTTGAGTTACATTGGTATGCAATGTGTGTACCAAATTTCATCAAGATATGTTTATGAATGACAAGAAAAGTTAAAGGACGGAGATTGGACATCAGTCAACGTAGCCCATACCATAATAAGACCCGTCGGATGACGGGCGTATAAAAAGTGTTTTCCTTTTCTATGTCAGAGCTGATTGGAATGTAAGAACCTCATTTTATCAGAATAAAATCTATGAATCGATCCATGTACAGATATCTCATTCATCATAACTTTCCTAAATACCAAACCTTCCTTATAATTCAACATGCTAATAACTTACAACTATGCCTCTATATAATAATGAATCAAAGGTTTATATGTATAGGTACTGGCTATTCCTGATATATACATGTATCTCCCATAAACTGGGTCTAATGGGACAAGACGTTACTTTCTGCTTCTCCCTTATGGACAATTTTGGGGAAACTCTTCTTTCTGATGATAATCAATAATGTTTCCTGAAATATATAGTAGTGACCATTTAGTGTAACCAAGCCAAGGACAACAAATGGGAGCCCAAATATTACTCACAATGTCTTAAATTTATCCAGTTTTGGGTTGGCATTGTGTAGCTGATGTTTATTTCATTATACATTGAGACACATGACACTTACTCAGTGTCCAGAGAGAATCCAAAACGTCTGCCACGCCGTGTCTGTTGGTAACTACCGATGTCCCCTACACGGGTCAAAGCTAGCCTTTTCCAGTTGGCCCTTCGTATCGCAGTCTCTGTGACAAAACCAATTTTCTTTCAAGGATTATATCTCTACTTGGTAAGAAATTTTGAAGCATCACTCTTGATTCCAGTTCTTTTGTACGACTGACAGTGGCCACACACTTTGGTAAGGTATATATATATATATTATCTCTAAAAACACAACATTGCAGTATCTAACTAACACAGGAAAATGAGGAGTGGCATGGGCACACAGGGGAGTGAATAACCCTGATAACACAACATTGCAGTGTCTAATTAACACAGGAAAATGATGAGTGGCATGGGCACACAGGGGAGTGAATAACCCCGATAACACAACATTGCAGTGACTAATTAACACAGGAAAATGAGGAGTGGCATGGGCACACAGGGGAGTGAATAACCCCGATAACACTACATTGTAGTGTCTTATTAACACAGCAAAATGAGGAGTGGCATGGGCACACAGGGGGGTGAATAACCCCGATAACACAACATTGAAGTGTCTTATTAACACAGGAAAATGAGGAGTGGCATGGGCACACAAGGTCATCCTGGAAGCATATGTGCATTCACCTCTTTATACTCAGCAATTGTATATAATATGGTTATAGGGTGGGGATCTCAACTGTTTCCAAGCTGTGACTAAGAAACTAGGTCCGTCAGGGTTCGGTCAGACCCCAGGGTCTATTCTAATATCATGACTGCATTTGTTTCTTTATGCCCAGCATTTGTATACATAATTTTGGGGTGGGGATCTGTTTTAAAGTTATAACCCAGGGATTATGTCTCTAAGTTGGGGCTGCATTCTTCTATTTATACTCAGCAATTGTATATATGGTTATAAGGTAGGGATCTCAACCAAGTAATACACTTTTTTTTGACCCCACTCCTTAGCCCAGGGGGTAAGCCCCCACCATTTGTACAATTTTGAATCCCTGCCTCCCATGAATGCTTTTGATCAAATATGATTGATATCCAGTTCATTGTTCTACAGAAGAAGTATTTTTTAGCAATATAGCCAAATTGCCCTTTTTGGCCCCCGCCCCTCAGCACCCTGGGGGGTCAGCCACACCATTTGTACAATTTTGAATCCCCACCACCTAGGGATGCTTCCAGTCCAATATGGTTGATATCCGACACTTAGTTCCAGAGAAGAAATCGCTTAAAGCAATATAGCCAAATTGCTCCCTTTTGGCCCCGCCCCTCAGCCCCCTAGGGGGGTCTGCCCAACCATTTGTACAATTTTGAATCCCCACCATCTAGGGATGCTTCCAGTCAAATTTGATTAAATTCCTATCAGTGGTTAAGAAGAAGAAGTCGTTTAAAGCAATTGTTGATGTACAAACAATGGACGACGGACATACGACGGACGCCACGGTATGGTATAACTCACCTTGGTCCTTCGGACCAGGTGAGCTAACAATATATATTAATGTGTTGGGAAAGGGCTTTACATAGGTTGGACAATTTGTGCCCAATCCCTTTTGTATATTATATGCAAATAAAAATATGTTTTAATCGAAATACTAATGTGTTATTCCGCCAAAATGTACAAACTAGAACTGTCCCATACCCTACTCTCCTTTCTCTCGCCTTATTTAACTTAGTTCTTTCACAGGTGTAACTAGTGCGAAAAATGTCTTTACATAAAAGGCCAAGCTCCATTAATAGGGGAGGTATCTAATGTCTATACTTCAATTTACATCACCATGATGCAAGGGTTACCATGTGTACCAGTTATTAAAATTGGTACAGTTCTTTTGGAGGAATATAGTGCCAACAATATATGAGCTTGAACAAAGGGGCCTTACTCCATGCATGGAGGAGGCAACTCTCATTGAACTGTTTTAATCCTATCCCCTCAATGTTAGGGTTATGGGTACTATAGGTATCATTTAAATCAGTGTAGTACCTCGGTAGGATAATTGTGAATGTTTCCAAACAAAATCGTATATGACCCGAAAATAGAGGAAGATACTCCAAGATATATCTACTTAATTCATAACCCCTATGTAAGTGTAATTAAGTAGATAAGTTTAATTCCAATCAGTGCAGTACTTTAGGAAGAGTAGTGCAAGCAGTGAACAACGCTATGACTAGACAGACAAAACACAGACAGAAAATCCAAACCAGTAAACACCCTATCTTACCTGCTGGTGGGGGTGGAGAGGCATAGATATAACTATAGTAAATGTTACCCCCTCCCTGGGGGGGAATAACTGATCCCCGGGAAAATGAAATTCACAATTCTCACAACAGACCTTAGGACCATTCCACCCATGATAACTATTTGATTCTAGCATTTGATCTGGGTCTGAGAATTTTAACCAATTTGAATGGTATTTTGCCATTAAAGCTTTTTGTGAAATTAGACTGAAATCAGTTAAGCGGATTTTGAGAAATCGAAAAACGTGAATTGTTTATAAACGAAGGTTTGACGAAAATGGGCAAATAGCAATGGCAATTGTCGCATGACACTTTTTTGCAAGTGACCTAAAATATATTTTCCATCAATATCACTTTCTTTATTTGATTGTGACACAAAAATACTCAGCCAATTTTGCTATTTTGTGTTCAATATTATCCTATCATATGATGCCAATCAGACCGATCAATTGTCAGGATCCCCCAAGCTAATTATTTCCAATCACAAAACATTCAGTCTAATAACAATCTTTACCTGAACCTGTATATCCTGTTCCACTATTTGGAGGAATTCTCCCCAGCAAGTAATAGGGAATCTTCAAGCGGTATTTATCAGCCTGCTTTTCCAAATACTCGGCTGATTTGGCATGGAGTTCGAGTCGCTGGCTTTCCATGAGGGTTTCGTAAGCTGTCTGCTGTATCAGAGCATTACGAAAGCGCATTTTATTGCACAGATCCCGTACATAGAGATTCTCTTCTTTAACACAATAACATGTATCCCAGGAAATTGTGTCGTCTCGTCCTTGCATCATCTGATTGTATCGTCCTGCTGGAATGTTTGCACACTCAAATATTCCATTGAAGGCGAGCTGTTTGAAGCATTTCCTTGCCTTCACTCTCTGGACTTTAGGCAGGATTGTCTCTACCATGTCCCGGGAAAAGCTTGTCCCAAGTACAGCAGCACATTTTACGATCAGCTGCTCAGAAGCCCTCATAGAATCAATCCTGGTCATGATGAGTTCTGATCCAGAAATAAAATGTGAAATATCAACAAGAAATCATAAACCAATTCCCTAATGTTTTACATCTATAATGTCATGACAATGCCAATTATTAAGTTAACAAGAGAAATATAAAGCATGAAGTTAAAAGGGATGAATGATGGAAGGCAACTGAGAGACGGGAATCTCAACTCGAGGGGGAAGATTCTGAAGTTGCCAAATACGAGGCTTTGCCGATTGTTTGGTGACTGAAGAATCTTTCCCCTCACATGATTCTTTTTCTCTAACCCTGTTCATCTATTGTGTATCATATGCATGATGTAATGTTAACGTTACAGGCTAAATTCAGGGTTGACGTGACATTGATGGGTTGTTGATGTGATGCCATTGTATTGTTGATGTGACGTCATACCATAGTTATGAATAAGGGAATCCCCCAGTCTCAACCGTAAGATGAGTTGAGGATATCTCATACTGATGACAGTGTGCATACATCTGTCCAGGTTGGTTATCATGTTTATCTAACTCAAGTTAGTAAATTTTCCAATTGTATAAAGATATGAGGTTAACCGAGTGTTTTTAACAATTTGAAAATTAACTAACAAGAGTAAGATAAACATGATAACCTACCATCACGAGTTTGGGGTCCTTTTTCTCCCATAACGTTCATATTTTATCTGAAAAGCCATATGTTTCCCTTGAAAATACACTATGCCGGCTTCCGATGGGGAAAACAATTGCTGTGAGGCATCACGTCACAAAGCATTGTTAGGTGACGTCATAAGTAAACAAGAGGCCCAGAGGGCCTGTATCGCTCACCAGGATATCTAAGCAATGATGGCAAAAAGATTCTCCAAATGAGATCCAAGGGAATATGCCAGACCCCAAGGCCAATCCTTGTACCATATCTGTATTAGATTTTTCATGCCCAGCAATTTTATGTATGGTTATGGGTTGGGGATCTCAACTGTTTCTAAGCTGTGACACAGAAACTAGGTCCCTAGGGTTGTGGCCAGACCCCAGGATCAAGTCTAATATCATGACTTCATTTGTCTCTTTATGCCCAGCATTTGTATTTATAGTTTTGGGGTGGGGATCTCAACTGTTTCAAAGTTATGACCCCTTTTGGCCACGCCCTTAGCCCCCTTGGGGGTCAGCCCAACCATTTGTACAATTTTTAATCCCCACCACCTAGGAATGCTTCCAGTCAAATATGGATGATATCCATTGCTTAGTGCCAGAGAAGAAGTCACTTAAAGCAACATAGCAAAATAACACTTTTTGCCCCCTCCCTCCTTCAGCCCTCTTGGGGTTCAGCCCCACCTGTTGTACAATTTTGAATCCCTGCCTCCCAAGAATGCTTTTGATCAAATATGATTGATATCCAGTGCATAGTTCTACAGAAGTCATTTATAGCAATATAGCAAAATTGCCCCATTTTGGCCCCGCCCTTCAGCCCCTTGGGGGATCAGCCCCACCATTTGTACAATTTTGAATCCCAACCACGTCCTAGGGATGCTTCCAGTCAAATATGGTTGATATCCATTACTTAGTTCTACAGAAGTCGCTTAAAGCAATATAGCCAAATAACCCTTTTTGATGGACCTGCCCCTCAGCCCCCTTGGGGGTCAGACCCACCATTTGTACAATTTTGAATCCAAACCACGTCCTAGGGATGCTTCCAGTCAAATATGGTTGATATCCATTACTTGGTTCCAGAAAAGAAGTCGCTTAAAGCAATATAGCCAAATTGCCCCCTTTTGGCCCGACCCTCAGCCCAACTTTTTGTACAATTTTGAATCCCCACCACCTAGGGATGCTTCCAGTCAAATTTAGTAAAATTCCAATCAGTGGTTAAGAAGAAGAAGAAGTCGTTTAATGAATTGTTGTTGTGGCGTTGATACATTGTTGATGTGACGTCATACAATTGTTGTTGAATCCCCCCATCATAACCCGTTGGTGAGACAAGGATATCTAACACCAGGAAAAGTGTGGATACACCTGTCCAGGGTAAGAAAAATAACTTTTCCATACATGTGAGTTACAAAGAGCTTACTAGACCGAAAAATCTGCATTCCTGTCATTAACAATTGACATTCTGGCTTCATATGCAAATGAGAAATGTGCGGACAGTTTACAACTTTACTAGAAGATCAGCTGTTTTACAGGTTTTAGGTAATAAGCAAGACATAGAATCCATCCCTGATGAAAGGTATGGATAAGGTCATTCAAACCCTCAGGATAAAATATTGAGCAAAACACCCTCGGCATAGCCTCGGGTCTCCTGCTCAATATTTTATCACTTCGCAGGGATGGATTCTATTAATCCTCAAGGTCAAGATTTGTTACGGCGGGGATAAACAGATGCACAGTATAGTGTGTTGGATCAAGTGTTTGCAGACAGCTGGTTGTAATTTGTCAATTAATGACCCAAATCACTGATTAGTCATTGTTCATGTCATAACAAATGAACACATGAAAAATTACCAATTAAATTAATGCATTTCAGATTGTGTAAATTGTAAATACATATTTATAATTATTCATACTGTAGGTTGTCAGTAATAGCATAATGGCTGAAAGTTGCATGTTTGATGAGGGTCAGTGACTGGAGAAGACACAATGTGGTATTTTTAAGTGTATTGCCTTGCCATGAAGATTTGTAAGTTGTATGTTTGATGAGGGTCACTGACTGGAGAAGACACAATGTGGTATTTTTAAGTGTACTGCCTTGCCATGAAGATTTGTAAGTTGTATGTGTTGCAACTAACATGTGCTGTTCTGTACTGAATCATCTAAAGGACTTGCATTATTATGTGCATGCATGTTGTAGTACCTTGACTATAATGAAGAGTTGTGGGGATGAACTTTCCTTTAAAGTGGGGAGGGGTGGGGATTGCCACATTGTTCTTTGGCACTGTTTGAAGTAGGCATGGGTGTAGTGTGGATTCTGAGAAAAAAATCTTTCACATAATATCTATTGATTGATCGATAGGAGGGTAGTCTGCACTCCTCCTCTGAGCTATGAATTGGAAGAAAACCTTGAGCAGATACATCTGTACATTACAACCAATAACAGGTTTAATTTACCTATCCTAATAAGGGACAAGTTTTAACAGATACATCTGTACATTACACCAATAACAGGTTTAATCTACCTATCCTTATAAGGGACAAGTTTTAACAGCAAGATGAGACTTCATGGATTCTGTGCCGCACCTTTCATGGAATCGGGCACCTTAATCTCATTAGGATTTATTCCAGGAGAAAATACTGTAATCCGTTCAATCTTCAATTTCTTTTCCTCCTTTTCAGCGTCATGATTGAATGAGGGGTTTTCATGGAGAAAACCCAAATCTGCCAGCATGTTGTGGCCTGATTCTGACTTCTGAGGATCTATCTGTAAAGTGAAAGAAGTATCCCATCATCCAAAAATCAACAACACTTAATCTGAGAGGATTTTTTCCTCTCTTATTCCAGTCCCCCAAAAAGGCCCTATTAGAAATCCAAAGGTAAGAAGCTGAGCAACACTTTGATTTTGGCAATTCTGAATATTATTTTGTCATACTGTCCTATCATTTGAGTTAACAGATTCTTTGTTTCCTTAAATATCCATTATTTCAAAAATGGTATTGAGGATTGTGAATGAAGAAATGGCACATACAGAGGTAGTATCATAGAAGATCTCATTGCACTGCCTCATGTCCAAAGTACTGGTATCATCATCCGTGTCCAAACGCCGGATGTACTGACTAAGAGGTGCCACCATGGACTCCAAGTGTTTAAAATGACCACTGTCCTGCAGAATGGTCAACTGTTTCTTCTCCACCATGTCCACTAGTAACTGTTCACACCAGGATGGCACACCATGGGTCATTTCTCGCAGCATCCTGATACATCAATCATTAACATATACAACAAGATGCTGACATTAATCCTCGTTTTTGACAGAATGTTAATAGATTACAGAATAGATAAGATTACCCTAAATCTACTCGTTTTTTTTGTAGCCACTGAGGATAATGAAATCTTTCATCCCCTAGGAGCGAGATGGGCAAATATAAACTTGATGGGTAAAATTCTTCAACTCAGTTCAACCCAAGGCTTGTGGAACATTAAGATTATTTAAGAATCTTACTCCATGACTTCAATGTACCAAGCAGTGAACAATTTTAACTCTCATTCATAATATCGCTCCAAATTTCAGTAGCAATCTGAATTCTTTCATTGATGTTTGGAAAGTCAAAGTGATAAAAGTCTTCAAAATATGACTTAAATGTCCACCCGTTCCCTTTAGCAGTCTAGGCTAACAAGTGGAACTTATTTCACCTGATTTATCCATACTGCCATGATATCTCAGTTCAGTGTTGGTAACAGGAGTGTACTACTAAACACCACTGACAACACAGAGGTTTCCATGTGAATGTCAATCAACCAATACAGGCTGTCAGTCCTATCATTACCAGAGGCCCCGAGTGGTTTCTATTTACTGGAAGATATTGCTCAAAGTATGAATATTTACCAAGTTTCATCAAAGTCCTTCAATAGTATTTCATAAGGTCATTTGGCAGAAATCCTATTAGAGTGCTTTAGGCTAAATAATGAAGTGCTTATTTTTATCAACTTTAAACTCGCCCTCTTTGGCTATTTTACATTGACCAAGTTTCATCAGAATCCAATAATATTTTATTACGTAATTGTGCGGAAACCATCGACCAACCAGAGTGTAGTATTCTTATTCAGACTCACAGATTTTGTCCAAATTTGAATTTAGCCGGTCTTTGTATTATATGTGTAGTGACCAATTTTCATGACAATCTGGTCATATGATAACATTATTATGTGGAAACTATCTACCAAATCTAATTTAGTTATTGAGTGGAAACTGTCAACCTATCAAAGCATGATATGCAAATGAATTATGCACAGATTAAGTTCATCTCTGATGAAAATCAAACACTTTTTAAGAAAGTTAACTTGCAGAAACTAAAGTTGGGACGGACAGACGTATGGGCGCTCCCCATGTCATAATTCTTAAACTCTAATATGTTGTAGAATATTGAATCTTTTTTTAAACTTCCTTATTAACTATTTTGTATAAAGGGACTTTGTTCTTGGTAATTAAAGTTCTTTTCGACAAATTATAGATTAACAATCTGTAAATAAAATTGAAAATATCCACTGACCGTTCGAGCTCCTTGGGTATCCTGCTGACCTCCATTAGCTGGCACGCCAATGCTGTCATATATTTACTTTCAAGTCCAGCAATATCTCGAAGCTTGACCATCTTATGGTCAAAGAATTCTGATGCAGCTGAACAAGGTGGTGCCTCAACTGCCAGGGGTCTGACTGTGCTGACCACAATGACCCCTGGGACATTGATGAGCCGGAGAAGGAATATCCAGGATTTGGGGTCAATGTAATGTGCATCATCAAGGGCAATGACAACTCCACCAAGCTTCTCTATACACTGATGACAGATAAAACAGACAATCATTCAAATCCTCAACTACAAGTAATAAATCTTCGTAATGATAGAGCCATGTCTATCAGTAAATGAACTTATAGAAGAAACATACTCTGCTTTTGGGTGCAAAAAGTACATCAATCAGAGGCCAGGAAATGGTGAACATTTTGTCCAATCAGAAAAAAGAAGCTGCTGTGATGTTCACAGTTCCATTATACATCTACGTAACAAATTTGAGCAAAATCAGTCAATATCTAAATTTTGACTAATCAGAGGCCAGGGCAGCCATGTTTGTTGACTGATAAAAAAATGGGGGTTTAAATAGGTATTTTATGGCTACGGTATAGGGAAGATATGTATTTTATGGTGGTAGATAGGTATTTTATGGCTATAGCATAGCGTAGATAGGTATTTTATAAGGATAGATACAGTAGGTGTTTTATGGCAAAAGTTTCTATTTTGATCACCATTATGGTAAAGTGAAGCCCCCATGCCCCACCTTACATTTCTCTACACCAGACTTAATTTTTGTGATTTTCAGATAGAAGACAAAGAGTTAGTTTTAAAAAGTCAAATGGTAAAGTGAAGTCCCCCTGCCATATCCTAAATTTGTCTACCCTAGAAAAAATAATGTACATAAAATGTCATTGCTGCAGTCAATTTGGTTCCTGCGATCACAAGCCCAACACTCTGCGATCACATCAACTACCCCTACATAAATTATGTTTTATTGTGCCTTGAAAATACCGCCTATCTTGGTGGAACATAAATAGATTTTTAACATTTGAATTATTGAATTAACAATGATGTTATATGTGAGATTGATGACTGAGCACATAAACATTTACCACAGAAGCTATACAGCAAAGTAAATCCTCTTCGCTGGCTTGGATCCCTTCAGTAGAATCTATTTTCTGAAACTATCCAAGAAATCTGACATAAAGAAAACATTATATATATCAAATATATAATATTCTTTGGAAATTTCCTTGAATATAAAACGAAAGGCCCAATGGGCCCGATTGCTCACCTATTGTAAGTGTCACACTTTAAACCAAAAAATTGGAACAAGGTCAAATATTGATCATGAAAATAAGTTGCTTAAAGGTATTTAACACATTTGACCCCTGTGACCTAGAAAGCATGCTACTGACCAAATATCACCCTAAGCCTCTTGGCTGTTTAGAAGAAATAGTTTAATTTTTGGCTCATTTGATCCCTGTGACCTTGAATATCAGGGTAGGTCATTCATTTAAACAATATTGAGTCCTTTATTTACATTTTACCTATGTGACATTGAAAGTGTGTCTAAGTCAGTCACTGATCACTTCAACAAACTTGATGGTCATGCATTCCTCTCTAAATGCTACTAGCCAAATATCATCACCCTAGGCCTCTCTGTTCTTCAAATAAGTCGATTAAAGTTAGATTAAATATAACTGCTAAGTTTTGTTATGTTGCAGTTGATTTGTATGAACCAGTTATCAGTTAAATGTAATTGTTCTAAACACCTGTGAAAACAAGGTAACGTATTACGAGTAATGCATAACTCAACATCTCCATACAGGCTTTATTAATCAAACAAGACAACAAACCATAACTTTGTACATATATATGGTGTGACATTAGACATGATTTTATTTCATTCCACTAGTCTTCTCCTCACCTCGTATCCGAAATAAAAACTCAAACACACCATTTGCCAGACTAGTTTGTCTTGACTTAGTGCAGTCGGAATTTAATAGCTTAATACAGCAAACTTCACAACCTGGAAAAAAGAGCCCCACCACACTCTTGCAGATGTAATACAAGTGGCCCTTACTCGCACCTTCCACACCTCTGCGAGTGTCATGGACTCCTTATATGTACATCCCCTCCATAGTATCGCCCATCCAGAAAAAAACAGAGACAGCCCCTGTAGACCTGTGCTCCAACAGCTGGATAATATATATATATACCTCACGCTATTGCAAGAGGCCCAAAGGGGCTGCTTAAATTTGCTCAACTGCTATTAATCTCACATTTGTAACCTTAAAAGTAAACAAAGGTCAAATACATTTTAACAGACTTAATGAAATATTTGGCTTAATGTCATTGCCTATGACTCAAAAGAATGTTCATAAGATTTTAGCACATTAGACCCTTGTGACATTTAAAACACAAAAATAAAGTTATTTCAAGTATTTAACATATTTGACTCCCCTTGTGACCTTCAATACAGGTCAAGTTTTTTTTATTTGCAAACTTTGTTGGGCTCTATCCCAGGAAGCTACCAGCCTAATATCATGACTCTTAAGTCTTTTGGTTCTTCAGAAGAAGCTGTTTGAAGATTTTGACATGTTTGACCAGTGACCTTGAATACAGGTCAATGTCTTTTACCCCCTCAAACTTTGTTAGGATGCATCCTAAAAGCAACCACCTTATACCATGACTCTAACTCTCTCCATTCTTCATCAGAAGAAGTTGTTTTAAGTTTTTGTAATGTAATTTTGAATATAAATCAAGGTAATTTTCATTTGCAAATTTTATTAGGGTTCATCCCAGGAAGCTTCCAGCCAAATATCTTAACTTTAGGCCTTTTTCCTCATTTAAAGGAAAAAAATAACAGGCTATAGCATAAGTTCACTTGGTGTCTGGGTAGGTGAGCTAATCAAAAGCTGCAATATTATAAACTTAACTACTGCAATATTACAAACCTTACTGCTGTGTCACTTGCAAAATGATGTTCAAGGGATTCCACTAATGTATAACCATAATACTTGAATTGCTTCCATGGCACATTCCGCTATGTAAACTAGAGTTCCCTTTACTGGACACTAGCGTAAATCTCTTCTGTCTCCATCCTCCTATGTATGTGAGATGCTTATTCTTGTTGAAAAGCTTACACACCTGCCTGGAATCGTAGATCTGCTTAAAAAAATATTCTTAAACTAATTCCTGCTAAATCAATATTTTTTCATCAACATAGTTCAAATATATAATATTCCCACCTTGTGAACACTTCATAGTACTAAGAGTTTTATTGGCAATTTTGAGGAACGTTTATTAATGCTGGAAGCTTTAACCGCATCGCCGATTGATCTGTTCAGTCCTTTTCCTGTGGAAAAACACAAAAATAGCGGTCAGTGTAGATATATGACATGTCATCTACTTTCATAGATATAATGAAACAGTATATCTATAGATCAAGATGCTTGCAACAAACTCCATCAATTCATGCTTTAAAAAATGCTATTATAGATCACTACAGAAAAAATATATTTCTATAGGCAAAGGAGTGGATACTGCTTTAAAAATGGAAATGGAATAAATTATTAGAAATAACTCCCAATCCCTGACAAANTCTGTAAAAGCTCTTTTGCTCCTTCCCTCCCCACCCCCACTCTCTCTCTCTCTCTCTCTCTCTCTCTCTCTCTAAAAAAACCATTACAAAATTTGTATTAAATGTTGGTTGAAGAATGAAAATGAGTGTGAAAATTAATACTGTAATTATTCTGTAATGCTGAAAATGTTTCAAAAAATAAAATTATAAATTTTTTTATAAAAAAATAAATTGAATAAGATTGCTAGGAAGGATAGAAGGAAGTGGATAGGCAGCAGAGAATGGTAGGAGTAAAGAACTTTATACTATTACAAAGATGCAATCTGGAGGAAGAAACAATCAACTGGTGTCAGAGGCAGCAGAGATTGGTAGGAGTAGAGAACTGTATACCATTACAAAGATGTTATCTGGAGAGAGGAAGAAACAGTCAACTGGTGTCAGAGGCAGCAGAGATTGGTAGGAGTAGAGAACTCTATACCATTACAAAGATGTTATCTGGAGAGAGGCAGAAACAGTCAACTGGTGTCAGAGGCAGCAGAGAATGGAAGGAATAGAGAACTTTATACCATTACAAAGATCTTATCTGGAGAGAGGAAGAAACAGTCAACTAGTGTCAGAGGCAGCAGAGATTGGTAGGAGTAAAGAACTTTATACCATTGCAAAGATGTTATCTGGAGAGAGGAAGAACCGGTCAACTGGTGTCAGAGGCAGCAGAGAATGGTAGGAGTAGAGAACTATATACCATTACAAAGATGTTATCTGGAGAGAGGAAGAAACAGTCAACTGGTGTCAGAGGCAGCAGAGAATGGTAGGAATAGAGAACTTTATACCATTACAAAGATGTTATCTGGAGAGAGGAAGAAACAGTCAACTGGTGTCAGAGGCAGCAGAGACTGGTAGGAGTAAAGAACTGGATACCATTACAAAGATGTTATCTGGAGGAAGAAACAGTCAACTGGTGTCAGAGGCAGCAGAGTTTGGTAGGAGTAAAGAACTTTATACCATTACAAAGATGTTATCTGGAGGAAGAAACAGTCAACTGGTGTCAGAGGCAGCAGAGAAAGGTAGGAGTAGAGAACTGTATACCATTACAAAGATGTTATCTGGAGGAAGAAACAATCAACTGGTGTCAGAGGCAAAGAGATTGGTAGGAGTAGGGAACTGTATACCATTACCAAGATGTAATCTGGAGAGAGGAAGAAACAGTCAACTGGTGTCAGAGGCAAAGAGTTTTGAAGATCGAGAAGAAAGAACACTTGGAGAGATGGGTAGAACATTTCAGTGATGTGCTGAATAGGGAAGATCCGTTAAATTCAATTGCAGAAAATGAACTACAGCAAGTAGATGACATAGATGAGATCTATCTTGGGAGTTGATCTGAAAGTGGAGTAGGGATGGCTCTAAAGAATACAAAGAATGGAAAAGCAGCAGGAGTTGATGGCACAACACCAGAGCCATTAAAGGCAGATTTACATGAAACAACAAAAACACTTACAGAGATTTTCAATATAATATGGGAACAGGAAAAATGGCTAACTGCTTGGAAGAAAGGTTTAATTTGTAAGATATTCAAGAAGGTGATACTGGAGAGGATTGACATTTCTACCAATCATTAGTAAAGTGTTTTGAAGAATGCTTATAGAAAGAATGAAAAAAGGGGTTGATAAAAAACTTTGCAAAGAGCAAGCTGGATTTAGACCGAATAGGAGTACAACTGAACAGATATTTACATTAAGGATCATCTTAGAGCAAACAAATGAATGGAGGCTGCCACTGTATATCCACTTTATAGACTTCGACTCTGTGCATAGGCAAAGTTTATGGAGGATAATGAGAAATTATGGAATACCAGAGAAGATTGTGAGAACCTACATAGGGATATATAAGGACTTTAAATGTGCTATTATGGATGAGAATGAAACACTGGAGTGGTCTAAGTGATAAGACAGAAAGACTTACATCTGAGGCAGCAAGAATTGGACTAAAGCTTAATGCTACAAAGACACTCAGGAGCGAACAAGCAAGAAAGAATGAAAATATTCTATTAAACAACGAGATAAAAGAAGATGTTGACAAATTTGTATATCTTGGACAGAGAAGGAGGAGGTAGTAGTGACATCAAGAACAGGCTTCAGACGGCAAGAGGAGCATTCCACTGACTCCGAAGTATCTGGGGAGCACAAGCTATTGGTAGAAAGACAAACAAACATCTATTCAAGTTGCTTGTTAGACCTGTATAACTGTATGGCTGTGAGACCTGGAAAATTACAAAAGCAGAAAAAAAACCTGAACATCTTCCAATACCAGTGTCTCAGAAGGATATTGAGAGTAAGATGGCAGCATAGAACACCAGATGCTGAAATTTGTGAAATAAGGAGAAGAAGGTGGAACTGGATTTGTCACACCTTGAGGAGAGAAGGAACAAATGACTGTACAACAGCTTTGGGATGGGCACCAGAGGGAAAAAGAGCAAGAGGGAGACCAAAAACAACCTGGCGAAGAGCGGGGGAAAAAGAGAGCAACCATATAGGATGGAATAGCTGGAACACTGCAAAAAAAGCAGCGAAAGACAGATTGGGTTGGAAAAAAAAGAAGCGTGGAGGCCTTATGCACCTAACTGGCAAGAAGAGATTTAAGGTTAAGGTAAGGTATGCTGCAGTTTCAAACCAAGGGACAATTAATGTTTCTGTGACCTTTGTATCTTCATTTTCTCTATGATTTGACAAACTTCATCAGGTAGTGGTACAACCCAGTCACTAAACCCTTGCCATCCAACAGTTTAAGCATTGATTGCTTCTCTGCCTGTGCACCACCATTTTGAATTGAACTATGCACATTTACTATTCTAGTCTGTTGATGAGGACCCATCGTGCTTCACATTTATTAAAAACCCATGCTTGCATCAACCAGTCATCGCAATCCTTACATCTACTTAACAATCTGCAGTATTGTTTCTGCACCTTGGTAACCACTGTGTACTACTACCGATGCTGTTTTTGTCAAACACATCACTTACCTCATGAATGATCGTTTGTAGATCTGGCTTCTTACCATTTACTTTCACTGTAGATCATAATATAATGTTGTTATCAGTTAAAAGTTTGACATGCTTACCTTTGGTCGCATCAATCTCGGACATAAGTACTCTCCTATCTGCTTTAAACTCTCTCCATATTAAGTTATATGATTTTTCCTTCTCGTCCCATATTTCTACTACTATACACTTATCCATGTGATAAAGATTCCCTACCGAGCAGAGGCTCACCCCCTAATGAGTGTACCTCACCTACCGACATACATGCCTTGTTGCTTACCTGGCCTGCTGATATTATCCATAACCCTGTATCTCTCACCCAATGCATCTGTGCAAACTACAGCATCACACACTGCATTTTCCTTTATTCCTGAGCTCAATATGCTCTTGTCAACACACACATATATATACATATAGTGTGGTCTCATTAGCCCACAACTGTTGGCACCGATATAACCGACCAACATTGATACGTAGTTGGATGAAATCTGCTTAGCTAAGAACAGCAGAATAAAACAGTTTAAACATGTTGTTGGCTCATGAAACCAAAGAAATGAAGGCAGCAAATTCACCATTATGGAATTCTCCATCAACTTGCAAACAAAATTTCCAAAAATGTTGAAAAATGAAAAATTTGAAAATATCTGACCTTTGACCTAAGCGAGATTTTTTTTCTAATAACATGTCATGAGAAAAAAAGTTAGCCTTACCATTATCTTTAAATGATAGAAGTGTATGAATGGTATTTAATCAACAGATTTTGAGTTGTGGGCCAGGTGAGCTAAAAACAATATAATTTAGTTGAAAATCAACTGATTATGAATTGAAAATTGATCAGTTGGCACTAACCAATTGTAACCAATCATCAATGGTTAGATTTCAACCGTTTCCCAACACTAACTGAAATAATTCCCTCGCCACCTTTGTGCCATCATATTTGAATTTAAATTTACACAGATACAGGTTTAAGTGTCTGCAATCTAAAACAAGGACGGGCTTACCTGATCTGTAGAACGCTACAGTTAAGCAGATTTGTGACAGTGGGTTGGAATGAGACTTTCAATATACATACCAGTCTTACAAGCTTTTTTATTTCTGTCTCGACAAATTCAGGATTATCTTATGCAGTCTTGGTATTTTGTGATTCAAACCCTAAGCAGAATTTTCCAAAAGGCAATCTTATTGCTGGTCTTTTTGATAGAGACAAGTATCTCACTGGTACCTTTGCCTGCCCATTATTGAATCTTATCACTCAGTCAGCCTACAGGTGAACATGCATAATCCTGTGACCGGCTTACCTTACTATTCTCGTTTACGACAGAGTCTTTCTTATGCATATTGAAAAATGATCTACTTACCTTTTAGCCCGATGTTTTGGAAACAGCTCTCTGGACTATTGGAAACTTGCAAAGGTCAAGCCTTCAATTAAACATCCCAACCAAGTCCTGGGCCTACTGCTGATACCTGGGAAAATACCCATTCTCCCTCTCATAAGATTTGTGCTCCTCTGGGTTCTGGTGACTTATTCATGGTGATAAGGTCCATGCCTGTTTCTTCCCCTGGTCATTTTTGTTTTTCTGCCTTCACTTTTTTAAAAGGCTCTGGATCTGTTGTTTTGTGAATAGCGTGAGATAATTTTTGCACACTTTGGAACTGCTTTTATATTGCTCCTTGCAGCTCCTTTTCTAAAATCTGTATGTGTATGCACTCTTGATTGTCTGTTGAATTTGTCTAAGATGCCTCCAATCTCTCATCGCTGTTTTGTATCTGACCTGCTATTGAATGTCTCAGCTTCTCTTACATGGTGGGAATGTAGAAAAACAAAAGTCTTGTGACCTCACTATAGACGAAAATCTAGAGAATGACTTACCACATTTATGATCCCTTACCGAGGCCCACTAGCCACACATGCTCTCCTTGCCGGAGGAGACAAATAATTCCCGCTATACTCAGAGCCACAGGAATATCTTATTCCATGAGGCACTCGCATACAACATTTGGCAGTTGCAGGTGACAGAGAACATATAACACCTAGCACAAGGTGATGTACAAAGGTCGAGAGTAGGACAAGATACTTTACTTCAGTAAGTAAATTACACTCTTTCATTCCAAGAGGTTCTTATATACAAAATTTGCAATTGTAGGTGCCAGCGTACATAAGATATGCCATGGACAAAGGTATGCAATGATGTACTGATGGACAGCATGTAAACTTATATTCCCTACAGTTGTACTTCGAGAAGATGACCCATGACAATGATGTTTTAAGTGCATGTTGTACTCACGTTAGAGGAGAGGATGTCATTGAGTTTGTGTAGGGTGGGAATGTATCCAGCTCGGTTGAGACGCTCCATCAATATGGGCTCCTTGTTCACTTGGTAGGAGAACCCAGCACTATTCAGAAGTATCAGGATCACATACGTGCTGAGAAAATTGGCATCAAACAGATTATCAAGCTTCAGGGCGCATGAGACCACTCTAGGAAACAAAACAAACACCGGTCATCCAAAATTTTCCTGCTTAGAGATTTAAAACAGTGATTTAATTCAAACAAAAAAATGACTAATATATGTAAAAGTACAAGTATATGAAGTTTGCATCAAGGAACTAGTATAAATACATTATTCAAAGGGACAATTTAGTGAAGACATTTTTTTTATATAATCTTTGACCACAAAATTCTTCATGATAATATAGTTTGTTACTCCTTATGAATAATTCATCTCAGTAGATGAAATTAAGCACCAAACAGTATAGGTTTTGTGCACCATGTCCATGACAATTGGAAATTTATTGAAATCAGAAAGATGAAAATGGTATCCGATTACACAATACAGCACACACGCAAGCATACACAAATAGGGAGATGGGAGATATTAGCCAGGGGGCATATGACTAGTAGTTAGCGCCCGATAAGGCAGCTCCTGCGAATTCTCAAAATTGTATAAATTGTATATCTTTGTACTGTTAAGCGCTTTAGAGTGGCTTAATTATTCTAGCTAGATAGGGCGCTATATCAAATGTTGTATATTATTATTGCATTTTATTATTGCATTTATATCAATATGTATGAAGTTTAAGGTCAAATCTGCAACGGTTTTTAAGAAACAGATTATAATGCAACAAAATGGCCATGTTTTAAACACCTTTTTTCAAGAGAACTGGAATTTCTGTTACATCAGAGAGGGGAAAATACCAAAACACACATTATGCTGGAATTTCTGTTACATCAGAGAGGTGAAAATAACAAAACACACATTATACATCGGAAAGGTGAAAATACCAAAACACACATTATGCTGGAATTTCTGTTAAATCAGAGAGGTGAAAATACCAAAACATACATTATGCTGGAATTTCTGTTACATCAAACAGGTGAAAATACCAAAACACCCATTATACTGGAATTTCTGTTACATCAAACAGGTGAAAATACCAAAACACACATTATGCTGGAATTACTGTTACATCAGAGAGGTGAAAATACCATAACATACATTATGGTGGAATTTCTGTTACATCAGAGAGGTGAGAATACCAAAACACATTATGCTGGAATTTCTCTTACATCAGAGAGGTGAAAATACCAAAGCACACATTATGCTGGAATTTCTGTTACATCAGATAGGTGAAAATAACAAAACACACATTATACATCGGAAAGGTGAAAATTCCAAAACCCACATTATGCTGGAATTTCTGTTAAATCAGAGAGGTGAAAATACCAAAACATACATTATGCTGGAATTTCTGTTACTTCAGAGAGGTGAAAATACCAAAACACATTATTCTGGAATTTCTCTTACATCAGAGAGGTGAAAATACCAAGGAATTTCTGTTACATCAAACAGGTGAAAATACCAAAACGCACATTATACTGGAATTTCTGTTACATTAGAGAGGTAAAAATACCAAAACACACATTATGCTGGAACTTCTGTTACATCAGAGAGGTGAAAATAACAAAACACACATTATACATCGGAAAGGTGAAAATAACAAAACACACATTATACATCGGAAAGGTGAAAATACCAAAACCCACATTATGCTGGAATTTCTGTTAAATCAGAGAGGTGAAAATACCAAAACACATTATTCTGGAATTTCTCTTACATCAGAGAGGTGAAAATCCCAAAACACACATTATGCTGGAATTTCTGTTAAATCAGAGAGGTGAAAATCCCAAAACATACATTATGCTGGAATTTCTGTTACATCAAACAGGTGAAAATACCAAAACACACATGATACTGGAATTTCTGTTACATCAGAGAGGTGAGAATACCAAAACACATTATGCTGGAATTTCTCTTACATCAGAGAGGTGAAAATACCAAGGAATTTCTGTTACATCAAACAGGTGAAAATACCAAAACACACATGATACTGGAATTTCTGTTACATCAGAGAGGTGACAATACCAAAACATACATTATGCTGGAATTTCTGTTACATCAAACAGGGGAAAATACCAAAACACACATTAGGCTGGAATTTCTGTTACATCAGAGAGGGGAAAATAACAAAACACACATTATACATCGGAAAGGGGAAAATACCAAAACACACATTATGCTGCAATTTCTGTTACATCAGAGAGGTGAAAATAACAAAACACACATTATACACCGGAAAGGTGAAAATACCAAAACACACATTATCCTGGAATTTCTGTTACATTAGAGAGGTGAAAATACCAAAACACACAATATGCTGGAATTTCTGTTACATCAGAGAGGGGAAAATACCAAAACACACATTATGCTGCAATTTCTGTTACATCAGAGAGGTGAAAATACCAAAACACACATTATACTGTATGATTACCTTTTGTATAAAATTTGAAGACAAATTTCTATTGATTTTTGAGATAAAATATGTATGCAATACTGCAAATACAATCTATGCACCAAAATGTAGATTATGCTGGAATTTCTGTTACATCAGAGAGGGGAAAATACCAAAACACGCATTATGCTGGAATTTCTGTTACATCAGCGAGGTGTAAATACAGAAACACACATGCTTCTGGAATTTCTGTTACATCAGAGAGGTGACAATACCAAAACATACATTATGCTGGAATTTCTGTTACATCAGATAGGTGAAAATACCAAAACACACATTATGCTGCAATTTCTGTTACATCAGAGAGGTGAAAATCCCAAAACATACATTATGCTGGAATTTCTGTTACATCAAACAGGAGAAAATACCAAAACACACATTATGCTGGAATTTCTGTTACATCAGATAGGTGAAAATAACAAAACACACATTATGCTGGAATTTCTGGTACATCAGAGAGGTGAAAATCCCAAAACATACATTATGCTGGAATTTCTGTTACATCAAACAGGGGAAAATACCAAAACACACATTAGGCTGGAATTTCTGTTACATCAGAGAGGTGAAAATACCAAAACACATTATGCTGGAATTTCTCTTACATCAGAGAGGTGAAAATACCAAAACACACATTATACTGTATGATTACCTTTTGTATAAAATTTGAAGACAAATTTCTATTGATTTTTGAGATAAAATATGTATGCAATACTGCAAATACAATCTATGCACCAAAATGTAGATTTTATACAACGGTTCCTTGACAACTGAAAAGACTATAAATAACAAGGTTTGTGTGACGTTAACAACTGTGTGTGATTTCTTTTTCAGTTTTGTTATATGCAGCTTTAGTGTTAATACATTAGAATTATGGTCTCCCAGCTAGTTGACCTGGATTTCATGTCATATCATGATGGCATAAGCCCAAGATATGTATGCAAAAAATACAACTTTTTTTGGTGAAAGCCATCAAAGTCCCAAATTGGCACCCATCCTTTTTCTGAAATCTGAACCTAAAAAACAGCAAATACAATCCTCTGTAGTGTGGTTGATTCATGAATGAAGTTCAAAGATGAAATCTGAAAAATCTCAGAAACATATTTCCTCCACTAACTTCATTGACTAAGGGATAATTAATTAAACACAAGAGAAACAATTTCAAAACAATCTGTTATATAAAAAACATTAAGGAGGCACAGTAGTCTAGTGGTAGGATGCCAGGTTCGTGACCAAAGGGTTACGGGTTCGAGGCACGGCATGGCACTGTGTTGTATCCTTGAGCAAGATACTCTACTTCGCTTGTTCGAGTATACTCAGCTGTAAATGAGTATGTGGTTTGGTAGTGCTAGAATTGTAGAATGCTAGCTGTGAGCGCCAAATGGCAGCACTGGCTGTATGCTCCCCAGGGAGTTGAAAAAGATACTGGTTGGTTGCAAAGGCCCTATAACCACGGATAATCACTAATTTGTGAACCGCTTTGAGACGACCTACGAACTAGGTTGTGATAAGCGCTATATAAGAACCTCGAATTATCGTTATTTATGAAACGAGATAGGGATAAAATCATATGTCAAATAGTGACAGAAGGAATACAAGCCATTTGATTTTCTCTTAGTAGTTCTACTGTGTGTGGAAGGTTATCACCAGACCTGGTTCCAGTTTTCTCTGTCATGACGATGAGATGATGAAGAAGACGTGTTTTGCCGATCCCAGCAGCCCCTACAAAGACGAAGTGCTGACATGCCCTATAGCTTCCATTATCCTCCGCCTCCGTCAGACAACATACTTCTTGATCGAAGATATTCTTCTCATAGTTTCTTCCTGTACAATGATAAACACACAGACTATATATTCTTTCTTGTGAGTTCAATGAAATCTTGCTTTCTTATTTGAAAGAGAATATGCAAGTTTAGGCATTACCTAGTAATGGATACTGGAACCTGACAACACAGTTGAGGTTTGTAGCTGTTTCTGCATCAGTCTCTGTGTACTCGCGGATGAGGCCAATGTTGCGGAGTCCCTTCATGCGTTTGGTGATGAGGACCTGGAAACTGTTAACCTGTAGTCGTGAGAACTGGAAGGTGCTGTCATCACATGTCACCTTATCTGGGTAGTGCATCATCAGACGGGCCGCCATGTTCACCTTGCTCCCAATTACTGAATAACAAGAAACAGCCAATGGCTATATGGCCGGATTGATACAGGACATTTTCATGTATAGCATCACATGTTATTAGCTTCATTTAAGATAAAAAAACAACATGCAAGTTTAGTTGATGTAGGACAAGTAGTTACTTGGAAATTGACCTAAACCAATATTCTTAACCATAGTGCAGATGGGGCCTGACCTCAACCAATCTTCTTAACCTGGTCAGTCAAGCGGTAAATGTAGGTCAGAAGCAGCATCCGAAGCATCTCATGTGATAAGCATCCTTAGATACATAAGCCATGCCAGTTTAGTTGATGTGGGATAATTAATAACTTGAAAACTGAGCTTAACCATTCTTCTTAACCTTAGTGCAGACAGATGGGCTGACGGACAGGTATCGCCAATCTATAAGCCCTGATTGCGTTGCAATCCAGCCAAACATAACAACTGACCAGTATATATACAGTCCTGTTGTTGTTTTTTCTGACTGGTCTTCCTTTAGATTTGTCTTTACTGTGTTGATGCTGAGATAGGATTTGTTTCTGTTACTTCACTTCATTGGAACTAAGAAATTAGTTCAGGACAGAAAACTTGTTACTTTGGTTTTCTTGAGGCAATGAATGACCATCAGGGATGTTTCAGGTTCTAATTTAAAGGTCTTCATTGTTCACCTGTCAAAGACTTTTTGCAAACAGATAACTAAGGGTGATCATACAACCTTGAGTAGAAAAGCTTATATCATGATTCAGTCTTTATAATCACTGTATGTGGCATTGTATGACATTATTGTGTTGACTGACCATTAAATTAGCCTTAAAAATATACAAATAATGATGATATATCTATAATGATAGGCGCCCTCGTTGTCAAACTCCCACCTTTATTTATCAACATCTTACACTTGGTATTGAATGGACATCATCCCATAGCTAACAATAAAAAATGACAATTTCCATGATTTACCACAGTATACCCATGTCAATTACTGTGTTTGCTGTTAGAATTATCATTTCATATCTCTTTCTATTTCTATATGACTTACCTGAGTATTCGTGTCTGTTTGTGTGTCCTACTACTCCACAGAATGTTGTTCCTGTAGTCACACCAATTGACACATTCCTGAAATTGTCCTCATATTAAAAACATGGGATTCCCACAGTAATATGATATTACATAAATATACATAATTAATAGACAATTAAAAGAAAACTCCTCGCATACATTTTTACTTCCATGACATCTGACGGTACATACTAATGTTGTCATAATTTATCAGAAAACTTGGTATATTGTTTATTGTATTGCTGTGACCTCAATTTCCCAATTTCAAAGCCACAGTGGCCTAATGCCTAAAACTTTGGAAAAAACCCGCTTAATTTTCATCATGATACATTTCTTCTGTATTGTAATATATTGTGACACACTTGAGGCAGTGTGACACCTCTTCTAAAATTATAATTTAATGCCAGTAATATTGGGTCCAAACCACCCTTTTGTCTGGTTATCCTGGCCACAGCTTCAATTCTATTGCAGTGAATACATGCTTTAACACTCAACTAGGATTAAATACAAAACTTACGTGACACCTGCCATTTTGACCAAGGTTTTCCTCATTTTATATGAGCACATCAGAGCATGAGCACAGTCTTTCTCATGTTTGTAGCCAGGAAGTCCAAAGATCACCAAAAACGTGCAACCCTTCAACACGAGGTCATCAAACTTCTACAATTTGCTAATTTCTTGATGTGAGTCAACTTTTTTCTCTCTCTAACATTTTATTTAAAAGTGTTATTTTCTGTAAAGTAGTGCTGTAAATATAGTGTCTGGTTATATTGATTTTTAAATAATGTGTAATTTATGAATATGAAGATTGATGGAATAGAAAAACAAAAATCTTGATTCAGAAATAATCCAACAGAACTTCACACACAATGATCCATACTTCGAGGTAGAATAAATCCGATAGATATTTCCTAGTGTTTCGCAAATAGTGGCTATTTCCTGGAGGATCATTTCTGATTTTCACTGCCTTGACATTTAATTGTTTTAAGGAATTTTGCTATTTTTAATATGAAGCATGCAGTCTGGCACGTTTTAGTAAACTTTCACTTTTTGTTCTCTGTTCGATGTGTTGTGTTAATCAACATGTCTTCACATTAAAACTCTTTCAAAACGATGTTGTCAGTGACATTGTCTGGGAATTACATGTTCCTGCTTGAAATGGACTGACTGGTAAATTTAACCAGGATTCACTATATCAGTATTTGGACATGAAAATCATTTGAGTTTCCAAATATGGTAACTCTACCTGTACCTGTTCAAAAAGTTGATAATAAGCATTCATGCATGACTTACCATAGCTCATGCTGCATACAAACAAAAGCCTAATCATTGTAAACTTCATTACCTTAGGTGTCCACTATTAATACAAAGGGGTACTGTGTTTTAAGTAGGAGAAATGTCTCAAACTGTCCATTCTGTGAGAGAATCCACTTAGCTCAGCCTTGATCAATCCATTCTCTCACAGAATGGACAGCTTTTGGCCTGTCTCCTTTATATAATGTCAGAAATCTTTATGCAAAGTTAAATGAAATTTGGTTGAAAGTTTTAGTCAGGAACTTGTGAAAAAGCCAAATGTGCAATTTTCCCATCAACACAACATATAAAGCTGTGACAATGACCTAGAACATACGACAGAACATTTCATCGTGCTCCAGATATTGATGTCAGCTTCATGAGATTTGGTTGAATACAGCTGTCAGGAACCTATATAAGTCTATTGTAACCAGTGTAGTGAATACACACTGAATAGTGTGACTTTTATTATTTCACACTGCTATGGAAACCAATACGATATATATCACGGCTGAAAACAAAACTAGTTTTCATTAAAAAGAGCAGATTAAACTTACCTTATCAAAGAGGAAAACTTTGTTAAGACAACCTGAAGAAAGAACAGAATGCTTTGATTACCAGAAACAAAGATTAATCAATGAAACAAGAGATCTCAGAGGGATGTTAATGGTGCCATTAACCATTCATACTATCTCCACAATTGCTGTATAAGATTCATCTGTAGTAATACACTACCTCATTATTGTGTCAGCTTTTACATTCTCAACCTTACATATTTCATTTAAGTTAACTTAACACATGATATACAAAAATATTTGCATTTAAAAATGAAAAATGTTAGTGTTACCATGCATGATGCTGGACTGCAGGTACACAGTATCAAACACCCGTTGTAGCAGACTGGTTGCATCAAAATCTTTGTTCAGAATTAAGTTCATGAAGACAATTGACACCTTCCTCATCTCAGACAGATATTCCAGGGGCTGGTTGTCATCTAGCTACAAATTCATTTGTTTAAGAGTTATTCTTCATACCAAATATCATCACATGGCTTGAGAAGTTTAACTAGAACACTGACAGGTCAGCAAGGCTCCCCCCCCCCCCCCCCNAGGCCCCCCCCCCCCCCCCCTCCCTTTCCCTCATGGTCTATATTTTAGTAAATTAAGTAACAGTACCTTGACCTTAAAAACTATTTAAACCTCTATTTGCACATCAACCTATCACATTGTATCACCATGTAAAATAGAAAAAAAGGTCTGTCTTTTGAATTCCGTGACAAGGACTGTTAACCTGCCACCATGGTCTATTTTTAGTAACAGTGACCTTGATCTGAGAGACTTTTTTAAACCCCTATTGTTCGTCTACATATCATAGTCAATCAACATGTCAAATTTAAAAAAAAGATAAGGCTTTTGAATTCTGAGATATGTTCAAACCTTATTGGGCCTGCCCCTCTGCCCCAATGAGGGCCACACCTTCCATTTACCTATACAAAATTTAGCCCCCTCTGCCAAAGGATACTTTTCACAAAATTTGGTTAAAATCCCTCCAATCGTACTAAAGGAGATAAGATTTACATCAATTTCTCTATTGGGCCAAACCCCTCTGCTGCCTGTCAAGAAAAGTTGGCGGAAGGACGCAACGGATGCAAGGCCACATCATAAGCTTACTTGCCCTTCAGGTAGCTGAGGGGCTCAACATTTCTGATGTGTACCTGTATAAGTGTCATTTGAGTAAATCATCACAGTCTCTCAATCAGCCCTTCAAAACTCCCTTACCATGAAGCAGAGCAGATATGGTCGCAGGTAATAACCATTTTAAAGAATGGGAAAGCAAGCACCAATGTTAAAGACATATAACAAGAGTACAGAAGGATGGAAGAATATACGCCCACCCCATGCCAATCTGACAAGTTGAGAACTATTTCTGGAATGTGGTTAAAGGAGACAACATCAGTACTTGACCAACCTAAGGTCAAACAATATATCTATTTCCTATATCCCTTATTACCTTTCACAAATTGATTTTCACATGAGTTGTCTCCCTTTGGCCTCACAGAAATAGAATGTTTGCAGCAATATCACAGGAGCACAAATCAGTTGGCTAAGAACATGCTGACAGAAGAGCACAGAATATCGCTGCTAGCGGTGACATTCTGGTGATGTACTGGCACACATTTCATCGCACCAGAATATCGCATGAAGCGCACCACAGATAAGGAATTCCCACGATCCTCTGTAACTTGTCTAAGCATAGGTGACCCCCCAATTCAAAAATAACAATATGGCTGACGAATGATGAAGGAGAGCTCATGGTGAAAGGAACAGTTGGGTGAAACAAGTAGACTTTAGTCTTTGTTTGATTAAGTAATAGCATAAGTTTCACAGCACAGTATGCTAATTAATTGCACATGCATTTTGCTCAACTTCGAATGAGTCCTCAGCCTTAATATAATATACATGCACAGTAACTTTCATCAAAATTGAATGTCCCGGCAACATTTTTGACGATAAGAAGAAGATGATAGAACTATTAACTAACAAGAGGCCCATTGGCCTTAACGGTCACCTGATATATTTATACAGAGAGTTGATTTTGTTTTTAACATGAACAGAAATATTATTCAAAGTGACAAAAAACAATAAAACCACCTTACTCAATATCTAGCATACAGATTTCAGACTAAAAAGGATTTGAAACTAGCACCTCTGATTCTTAACAAGGAAAATGAAGAAATTTTAGCACACTGACTCCTTTGAGCCCCACCCTACAGCCCTTGGGGGTAGGGCTGGCTCAAAATTTTCAAAGTATCAAACTGTCAATTCAAGGTTATAATTCCAATCAAGTTATTAACATGTAATATT